TCGTGCAGGAGCTTCTCCTGCCGGCAGTGCTCGCACTGGGACACCACACCCCGAAGCCGCTTGAAGTCCTCGCAGCAATCCCGGCAGCAGAACTGGAACACCTGGTCCTGGGGGCACAGGCGGGGAGGGGAGAGCCGTGACATCCGAACCTGGCCGCAGCCCAGTGCGAGGACCCCATCAGACAGACGTCTGCTCCTGTGGCAAGATGTGGGCAGGGGAGGGGTCTTACCTGCCAGTCCAAGACCTCAGGCTTGCCACTGAAGAGGCTGTGGCAGTAGTGACAGCTCAGATGAATGCCCCCCTCAGGGCTTGTGCGCTGGAGGGAAGGAAGACAAGTCAGGGAGGGGCGAGATGTGTGTGGCTGCGGCGGGCGGCGGGCGGCGGCGCAGGGGGAGAGGAAGTCGGGCTCGTTATTTGCTGTGCCCAGGCCCAGGCCTACCTACCCCCATTCTCTCGCCCTCTCTACGGCGCCACACCCCTTAGCCCTCGTCCAGGGTCTGAAGTACCTGGAACTTGGTCCAGCAGCTGGGGCTGCAGAACTGGTAGACTGTGCGATCAACCTTGTTGTAGTAACAGGGGTCAGAGAGGCTGCGGCGGCAGAAGCTGCAGGGTCGGGGAGGGCCTGGGGTATAGACAGAGAGGGAGGAAGGGCGAGAGGGGGCAGGAAGGGAGAGGAAGGGCGAGAGAAGAGAGAGAGGGAGAGAGGGAGAAGGAGGGAGAGAGCACACAGAAGGTGTAAGGCGATGCAGAGCTGGAACAGGAAGTCCACGGGAAGACGTGGCTGGGTCGAGGTCAGGCAGCAGGGGTTACTTTAGAAGAGGGGAGTTCGGGGGGTAGAAGGGAGGCCAGCAGGGGTCTCAGAGAAGAGGGCTTTGCACCTACCAGTGAGCCCTGCCTGCTTCACTTTGTAAGAGGTGGTACAGCAGAGGGAACAGAACAAGCTCGTCTTGCCATTACGATCCACATGTGATAGCATCTCAAAGTTCTTACACAGGGTCTTGCACCAGACACATGGGTACACACGTGTGTTTTTCTGTGAGGATGGGGAAGGAGAGGCTGAGGCTGGATTTGTCCCTTCGCTTTTATTTTTAAAATTTTTAAAACATGAAATATTTCGAGCATACAAAAAAGTATAGATGATGATGTAACAAAGACCTGTGCATCCACCAGCCAGCTTCAAAAATAAAACATAACAGATACAATCGAAACCCCCTTTATTCGCTTTATTCCTCCCAGCCCTCGCCCCGTCAGGCACCTTTATTCGTCACCCGAGAACCGCGAGCCGCGCCCCCTTCCACAGCCCTCTAGCGCACTACTCCCTCGGCCCCACCTTCTTGTACGCCCCCAAGCAGCTCGTGTTGCAGAAGCGCTTCTGCTGGCCCTCGTGGAACAGCAGCTCGGGGCCAGGGCTCCCGGTCTTGGTGTAGATGTAAGCCCCGCACTGGTCGCAGCAGTTGGTTTTCAGTCCCTTGTTGGCCCGGAATTTGGAGAAGCAGGAGTCGCTGCACAGCCGGTGCACCACGCTGCCATTGCTGACCTCGTGCAGGACCTGCCACACACACACGCGCACACCCTGAGCCGGGGCCTGGCCACCGCCACCCACCCCGATGCGAGGACAGCCCTCCCCACCTCGCCCTAGAACTTCGCAGCACACAGTGCGCCCAGGGCCCCCCCAACCTGCACATCGGGCTGCCGACTTGATGGTGAGGTCCCGGGAGGCAAGGAAGGCCGGCTGCACACATCCTGGAGAAGCTCTATCCTTGATAGGCTCCCTGCCTATCACCGACATGGCCGCCTTGCGCCCCCACCCCGCCTGCGCAGGGCCTGGCCCCTGCAGCCCCGGGATGGCGGGGGGCGGGCCGGGGCCGGCCAGGCTCCGTGATCAGCGCGCCCTCCAGCTTCCTCACCTCTCCGGTCTTCTGGCAAATGCTGCAGCGAGTGGCATCGGCGGGGTCCCCGGACTGGGGGATCGGGCGCTGCTGCTGGGCCTCATACAGGGAGAGGCAGACGGACGTGCAGAACTCATGGAAGGAGCCCCCGGACCCTGTCTGCGCCACCACCGAGTCCTTGGTGTTCCAGATCTCCCTGCGGGCGGGAACCCGTCTGAACGTCACTCAGTCGCACCCTCTCATTCCCTCGGCCCCCGCCTCTCCCCTGGGATCCTCGGCCGCAGGGCCGAAGGCTCTCAGACCCCTACCCACAATGCCGCCTCCCGGTCCCGTTGCGCCGGGCTCTTGCCAACAGTCTCGGCCTCACGCGCTCCTCCTGGCCCGACGGCCGCCCTCCCCTCGCCCCGTCCCTCGCTCCCCCGGACGCCCCCCAGCCCCCGCGTACTTCTTGCAGAAGGTACAGGTCTTTTTGCCCGAAGGCTTCTTGGAGAACGTGGTCAGACAGGACGAGGAGCAGAAGAGCTGGGGCAGGCCCTTGCGCTGGTAGGCGGTCTGCCCCTTCTGCAGCGGCGTCCGGCAGTGCGCACATGTCATCTTGGTGCCCACCGCGGAGCGCCCGGCCCTCTGTGCCACGCTGGAGCGCAGGGACATGCGAGGAGAGCGCCGGGGCCGGAACGGCACAAAGTCCTCATCGTTGGGGTCATCTACCATGGCATCGGAGTCCTCGTCTGACACTGGAACTGCGGAGGGGGCGCGGCGTGAGGACAGGTGACCGCGCCGGCTCCCTGGCCACCCCCGGACCAGCAGGCAGCTCGGCTGCTACTGGGACCCCCCTTATTCGTGCCCGTCACACTGGTATCTGAAGCCACTGCTGTCACTGTCCCTCAGTTACTCCGTCATCAAGCGTGGAGGGGAAGGCAGGGCTCGAAGCGGGGGGCTCTTGTTTTCAGTCTCCCCCACTGCCCCTGGTTCCCATGCCAACCCAGAGCGGAGAGAGGCACTTCACACTCCGTGCGGAGCCGGGAGGTCCCACTCGTCACACGTCACACGTCACACCGCCGCAGGTCCTACTCACTGCTCTCGGTGGAATCCACAACCTCAGGTTTGGGAGGCTCTGCCCGCCTAACGCGCTCGCTTCTCTTCTGCACCTTGGAAACACGGAGGGGGACGCTGACGCCAGCTTGGGGTTTGAGGGGGCAGAGCTGGGAGGGGGGGCAGTAGGGACCCTGGGCCCGGCCCTCAGCGGGAGGGCGGAGAAGGAGGCCTCCTGAAGCTGCTCACACCACCCTCCGCAGAGTGACATCTGGGAGGGAAAATGAAGGGTCTGTCCCTCCCGGGGCTCCAGGGGAACCGGACTCCTCCAGTCCCCTCCCCCCTCACCCTCTCAGGCGGCTTCTCACTCGCCTTCCCAGGCAGGCCATCTCCTGCAAAGGAAGCAGAAAGCAGCCTACATGTCGGGCCTGCCCTCACACCCCCTGCCTGGCCCAGCGACCGCCTCCATTCCTGGGGAAGAACTTACTCAAAACTGAAAGGGAAAACTCGAGTGCCTGTGGCTTCTTGGGGCCCCTCTCAGGGTTACCTCGAGCTCTGCACTGGGGGGGGGTGCAGCCATTCTCCATGAAAAAAAATCCTACCCCCCCACCAGCTTTCTGTCCCAATCATGGGGAGTTGGGGACGGACAGGTAACACATCTTTCATTGAGAATTTATAGTTTACCGACAGAAAGCAACGCGCTCCCCCAAAGGCAGGTAGCAAGGAGAGAAGGGAGCGGTGAGGCACGGGTAGGTCCCCTGGACTCGGGTGACTATCTAAGCGCTGGGACCCTAGTCACACAGCCCGGGAGAGGCACACCACTAGGCAGGACAGGCGAGGAACAAGAGCCCGCCCTTGGCAGGCCCCAGTCCTGGCCCCTGCATCTCTGCAGGCCCCCTGAACTCACGATGCTGTTGGTGGCTCCAGAACCTAGTTCTCATTCATCAAACCCAGAAACCCCACTCTCGCCTAGAACAAAACAGCTGGAAAGAGCTTAGAACCAAGAGGCCCGTGGTCTTCCCCGAACCCCGAAGGAAGGACCCTGGCACCGAAGACCCACTAGGCTAAGAAGAAAGGAACCTCTCCCGCCCCATCCGCCCTCTCCAACCCGGCCCCCGAAACCTCACCCGTATTCCTACCCCTTCCCCAAGCCTACCTTCCTTACTCTTCCCCAGCCCCCCTTCCAAGCCCCCAACTCCTTCTGCGCACGCATCCCCCCTCTGATCGCTCCACCCTCCTCCTTCTCTCCTACTTGGTCCCCAAACACACAGCCGCCCCTCTTTATCCCCGCCCCCTCCCCAGCCTTGACTTTCCGGCTGAGCAGGCAACCTACCTGGCAAGGAAGGGTGTGCAGGGGGGCTAGGGCCCCCGGGTTGGGTCTGAGAGCTGCTGAGTCCATCCCCCAGAGTCTCTCCCACTGAAGGGCTGGGGGGGCCACTGGGGCTCTGTGGCTGCCCTTGGGGATGCTCCTCCTCCTGCCCGGGGGAGCCCCGTCTCCCAGCGCCCATGGAGGCAGTCTCCTCCTCTTCACCGTGTGGGGACTGCAGGCTTAGTGGGGACTCTGGAGCCAAAGGCTCTAGCAGCCCCTCGGGTGAGGAGGGATTGGCCCCAGCCCCCGGGTCAGGTGGCACCACCTCAGGGGTCTGACCCCCTGGTCCAGGCCCTAGGGTCTGATCTGCATCCCACGCGAGGCTGCCCTCAGGACCGTGGTCCACCGCTGGGGGCGAAGGGGCTTTATACAGCAGCCCCCCCAGCCCCAGCAGCTCAGTGGCTCCGTCCAGGACGCCAGGGCCTTTTTCCAGGCCGGCAGGGGCATCGAGCAGGTCCAGGGCTCCTGAGGATGGAGAAGGGCCGGGGGGAGCCCATCCTCGAGTGGGGGCAGTCTGGGATTCCAGTAGGTCCTCTCCAAATTCCATGTCTACTGGAAGGTCTCCAGCCAGGGGCTTCTCTGGCAGGGTCAACGGGTCAAACGGACTGGGGAAGTCACTGGGGTCCATGAGGGTGACTGGCTATGGGCTGCAGGTGAGGGCAGAAGAGGGGGCGGGAGAGGTGGTCTTCGCCAGAATTCCTTCTGATACAGGCTCTGGGACACACCCCAGCATCCACTTGGATTTCTTGGGCACAGCCCCCGCCGCGAACGACATTTCCACAGGCTTTAGCCCAAATGACCACTCCCCCCCCCACACGTCCAGCGCCCCCTGCGGGGAGAGGCGTCCCCCGCCCTGGCCCGGTGCCCACGCTCCCCGGGCAGCCGGTGGTTCCACCCGCTCGCCTGGCCCCGCCACCCCACTGCAACTCCCAGTTCCCCTCCCCCCTTACCTTTCGGCCCCCCC